TTCTTGAAATTTTCCTGGAAGGCCTCAATTGCAGCACTCGATATTTTTGAAAACACGCAAAGGCTGAGCTCTGTTTCCGATACCTGCAGGAAGTGCTTCCTCCGTCACACGGGGTGGGGGCTACTTAGTCTGTGCACATTAGGACATCCCGTGCTCAAAAATCTGTTTCAAATTAAGTTTATTGTCAAGGTTTTACGGGGTGAGAGCAGAAAGCTTCGCCGTGATAATCTGTTGAGAAAAGGGAAGGCAAGATGACACCCCAAGTATCTAAGGCAGGGATCTCCAAACTTGGCCATTTTAAGACTTGTGGACTTCAACTCCCAAAATTCCCCAGTTGCTGGCTGGGGAATTCTGGGAATTAAAGTCCACATGTTTTAAAGTGGCCAAGTTGGGAGATCCCTAATCTAAGTTAGACCAGGCAAGATACCGAAGAGTTGCAAACTTTGCAAATTGGAGAGAAGCCAGAAGAAAAACAAGGGAAATGAAGATATTCCCACATCTGGTGCTTTGTGAAGTGGCACCATTTCTTTGAAACTATTCTGAATCCCTTTGCATTCAAGCCAGGCAAGCAAAAGTGAGCAGAGGCAGGATTACACCTTATCAAATTCCAGTGGCTAAATTTACTAGCCATCACTCTGGACAACAAGACAGGCAGCATATAAATTTAATAAATGAATAAAAATGCAGTCATAAAAAGTGCTCCAGGTTAGATGGCATTTAGCAAACTTGCAGAGAGAGAGAGAGAGAAAGTAAGAGAAAGAAAAAGAGAGAGAGAAAGGAAAGAAAGAAAGAGAAAGAAAGAAGAGAGAAAAGGAGAGGAAGAGCATGAAAGAAAGAGTGAGAAAGACAAAGAGAAAAAGAAAAAAGAAAGACAAGAGAAAAAGGGAGAGGAATAGTGTGAAAGAAAGTGAGAGAGAAAAAAGAGAGAGAGAGAGAATGAAGGGGGGGCATCACTTTGCCTAATTTCACAGGGTACCCAGGTTCCAGCCACCAGTGCCCCTTGCAGGGGGCTAAGGGTATGTGCCCTGCCTGGCACGCTGCCCCTCTGAAGCCCCCCACGTTACAAACCCTAGCCTTTTCCTCTCCTCTCTTGCAAGCAGGGCTAAAAAAGCCCTTATGCAAACTTTCCATAACTTCATGATGTTAGAACAACAAATTGAACCGTAATATCCACTTTGCACCTCGGGATACTGGAATTTTTTTGTCAATAACCCATGCATCCAAACACGCCAGGGAAAGCATTTGGGGGGGGGTGAAGCCTGGAAAACTGGCCCCCCACCCCATCCCCCCCACCCAAAAGAGCAGGAGTTAACAATTGTCTCTCTCTCTTTTTCTACTGCCCCTCGGAAAACAACCAACCAGCCAACCAAAAAAACACCCAATTCACACACACCCTCGGGGTAACCGAGTTTCCAAAATAAGCAGCCGGAAAACACACACACACACACACACACACACACACACACACGCACGCACATTTCTTCGGCAATGAACGGCAGGCCGTGTGGTTAGAGAGCTCGGTCCGACCTTCCCCGTTCCCCGCCAGCCGCCCTCTCCCTGCCCCAAACGTCCTCATCCGGAAATGACCAAGGATGGAAAAAAGTTGTGGTTTAATAAATGACAAAGCTTTTGACACATCTTGCCTTGCTTGGGCTGCTTGCAAAGCATTGAAAGGAACAGGCCCGCAGATGACACAAGGCCCTGGAGCCCGGCGGGCGGCGTCTGCTTTCCTGACGGCCTTCGAAGAAAGAGGAGGGACCTCCGCCCGCCCGGAGGTGGCCCAGGAAGGAGAGCGGCAGGTGAGGGCAGCCCCAGGACATGCCCTTCCCAAGATACCCTCTTCCCCAGGATCCTAGCCCGGCTTTTTTTCTCCAAACTCCAAGAAGACTGACTTTTTTGAGAATCAAGGTGGATTTAAAATGCAAAGCCCCCCCCCCCGCCCAGACTTCATTTCCTCAGATCCAAGACAATGTGGCTATGAACACTAAGAGCACACACAGAAATGGCAAGCAAAGGGATTTCGGGGGGGGGCTTTGAAAACTGCAGCCTAAAATAAGGGGTGTCACTTGGGGCACAGTCCAAGAGGAACCTCACCGTCTGGCCCTTTGCAAGCAGATGGCCTCACTCCCTCCTGCCAGGAGTCAACCTTGCAAGAAGGAAAGTTGCTCCAGGATCTCCGATGTGGTTTGAGGGCCTCCAGGATGCTGGGAAACAGTGCAAGAAAGGATGACAGCCGTGTTTTGAAGAAGACAATCCATTTGCTAGGGAAAAAAGAAGGAATTTGGAGCCTGGGATGGGGGTCACCAAGAGTTGGGGGGGAAAGAGGAAGAGTGATTCCTGTCTGACCCCCAGGCTGAAAAAATCTTAAGACAAGGCCTCCTCCTCCTCCTCCTCCTCCTCCTCCTCCTCCTCAACCTGCCTCTAACCATAACATCTGGATGACATAAACAACTGCAAATATTTCCATCGGAAACGCAGATGTTCCTGGGACTTTCAGCTTGGCCGTAAATACTACCTTGGAAGCTAGCAAAAATGGACAAGCCAGACCTTGAATTGGCTGGGGGGAGGGGGGAGGGGGGGAGAGGCCTGGCTGATTCCAGCCTCTTCTGCTCCTCCATCAGCTGCATTTGGGGCTGGGCTGGGGGCTCCAGAGATGCTGAGGGCAGCCCAAGCAGCCCATGCAAAGCCCCCAGGCCTGTCCTGCTCCAGACCTTAAACTTTTATCTCTAATCCTGGAGAACCTCAAGGCGACCCCTGGAAGAAACAACAAAAACAGAAAACTGGCTTTGCAAACTTGGCTAGACACGAGTTGTGCAATCAAGTCATATCGAAAGTCTCCATGTGCTGAAGAAAATGCCTTCAACGAATTTTGGACAGGATGCTTTTGATACATTTCCTCTTTTTTTCTTGTCTCTCAAAGAAAAAGTGCTAACTCAGATTCGGTGGCCAGGGTGAAATTCCCAGGCTCTGCTATAAAACTTGACCAAGTCCCCCCCCCAAAAGAGCCCATGGAAGCACTTCCATCCACATACAAAAATCTGGCGAGACCCCGTTTGTTCCACTCTTTACAAGGCATTTCCAGAGAAATGTAGATGCACTCTTTCAAAATGAGCGAGGGGGTCTTTCCAAGGAAAGATGATGTCCAAATTCCCCAGCTAAAATATTCAATATAATGAAAAGGGTTGTTTTTTTTTTTAAATTATCTTAGGAATGGGGGGGGGAGAGTAACATCTGGGGCAAGATCTTGAGGGTAAGGAAAGCATCATTTGGGATAACCCAACTGTAATAAAGGCGGGATAAAAAGAAAATAAATAAATACAACAAAACGCTGGATAAAATCTAATAATAAACAAACTGCCCTTTGAGGAATTGTGGATAAACTCAACCAGCTTTCCCCCCCTGCTGGCTTTCAAATTAATCAGACTGGATGCTCGGTGCCCCCCTTCTCCCCCCTTGTGAGCAGCTGCCTGACCGTGGCATGGAGTCCCAGGTTTGCCCATACATGTGATGCCATGCGTTCATGCAACACCTGGGCACAAACTCAAAGATCTTGACTGAACAGGCAAGCAAACCAGGACAGCTACCCAAGCACCTTCTCCTCCTTAAGAGCCAGACAAAAAGAGGGAACAGACACACACACACACATACACACAAACCAAGGGAAAGCCACCCTGCTTTTGGAAAAGAGACAACCCAGGGCGCCATGTTTAGCATCTGGGAAGGGGGACAGCCAGGAGAAGAGGGGTGGGCACCCCCCAAACCCGGAGCGCTGTTTTCTGCCAAGCCTACGCCAGCTTCAGCTGAATCCCCCATTCACTGCCTGCCTTGAGGGATGAATGGATTTCTGTTCCCATCGCAGCTTTGGAAGAGATGGGGCAAGAGGACGCCTTAAAAAAAATATTCCATTTTCACCATCCATTTTCTCTCTTAACTGGTTTTGACCTTCCTTGGCCAATCAAAATAAGAAGGCAAGAGGGGGACAATTCCATATTTTTATTATTTGCTTTGGAAAATCCAGACTTTTCAGCTTTTCGGCTTATTTCCTAGAGGCCGGTCTTGATGGAGGAGGCATCTAAGAAGCATCTAAGAAGCTTTAGTAAGGCTTCTGGCCTCGGGCCCTTGGCTTATGGGGACAGGACAGGGAAGGACCTTTTGCAGTCACACCAAGTCTGCAGTCTCGCTTAGTAGCTAAAGCAGGGATGGAAACCTGCAGGAATCCTTTGAAAATCCTGCCCACCATCAGTGGCACCAACCAAACTACAATCACCCAGGCAACTGATGGAGGCTTTGGACTTCCCACCAATCTGGGTGCCCGCCCAGGCAAACGGGGCTAAGAAAACCGAGACAATAAATGTAACAAATAAAATAAAGTATACATATCCGCCCATGATATGCAACTAAGTATACATATCCGCCCATGATATTCAAGTAATATCTCAAAACACGGAACAGACGAAAGAAAAAACAAGTTGAAAAAAGTTCTAAAAGCCAGGAGCTTTGAAAAGATCTCAGATGAGTTAAAGCAAGCCTTTTAAAGCAGCTGTGTCAATTTGTTCCATGTAGATATCCTGAATGGTTGGGGCCATCCAGAAGATCAGTTCCCCTCCCCAAAAAAGAATTAAATCTCCAAAGAGCAAAGCCTCTGAGATAAAACAGACAGCGCTGAACAAACATTAATAAGGGAAAAAATAGTCTGTACTAAGCACAAAGACCCCGATCATCCCAGTATTCGTTTCTGAGATCTGTTACCCAAAGAATCATTCTTCAGCATTCAGCTGAAAGCCTCTGGCTACCCATATGACTTCGCTCGATTTCTCCAAACTGCTTTTAAAAGAATTTAAGCATAGTTCCTTGCCTACTTTTGGGGTCAGCAAGATCCCAGAAATTGAATGATCTGCTGAATGAAGAGGTTCTTTCTTCTGTGTGTCCACACCACAGATGTTTAGAAAAGAAAGGAGGGGGAGCGAGGAGGGGGGTTTGCAAGAATAGAGACCACTTACCTTGGGGGGATCAAACAGCGCCAAGACATAACTCTGGCAGTCCGGAGGCCCTTCTTTGTATAAAACTAGCCGGCATTTCTGCCAGCGAGTCCCACTGTCCTCCGTCACCATCATGTATTTCAGGTTCCCTTCTTTCTGGATCTGTAAGGAGCAGTCCCTGGAGATGGTCCACGGGAAGATCTTTCGGGCAAGGCCAGATCTCAAAACCAAGTCCGCCATCTCCCCTTCGCCAGGGCCCGACTCCAAGGATCTCCGGCGGAACAAGCTACGCCAGCTCCTCCGTAGCCGGTCCAGAGAAAAATGTCTCCTGACACCCAATGGAGAAGTGGGCGCTGCCAGTTCTTCAGAACTCCAGGACTTGGGAAGTCCGCCAGAGCGGACCTCAGAGGCCCGGTTGACTTGGTCCGACATTTCCACCTCGACCTTGGTCCCAACCGTGCCCGAAGATCCCTCACCATGTTTCTGGCCTGTGTCCCGATAGTCTCGCACTCTGCTAAAGGGCAGGATGTGAAGCTGGTCTGTAGCATTCGTATCCTTCACCTCGTTGCAGAAATATTGCTGGAAGAGGTCTGCAAACTGAAGGGAGAAGTTCTCAGCGGCCAAAACTTCATGCTGGGGGTTCTCGCTGACAAAGTGTAGGTACTCCCTGGCCAGCTCCCTGGCGGTGGTGATAGCGTGCTGCTTGCAGAACTCGTTCCACCCGCCGGGGTGTCCGGAGTCACCTGATGGGACAGCGTGTCCATTCATGGCCAAGTCTGGAGATCTTCTGGGATTCTATAAAGGGAACGAGTTCCAGACACAGACAACAGGGAAAAGAAATGGTGTGAGGATCAGACCAATTCAGGACAAATAGCAGAGAAGGCTCGTCCAGGCAACCACGGACCATATTGGAAAAGGATAGCCAATTGAGAAACACAATGTGGAAGATACCATCACTACAGGCCACACAGACGTTCAACGGTAACATATATAAGTGGTAGATCTACAACCAACTCAGTAAACACCAGCTAATCAAGAAACCGCCAAGAACACGCCCATCAGACAGCCAACTCCCCTCCCTTTTAACACTGATGATGTTACCTAGTAGGGTCACGAAACATCTGCAAGAAACTCACCAAGGTCAGAGAGTGCCAAGGACCCCATCGTTCAACCTTGAGCTACAAAGATGCCACTAGTATTATAACTGGTTAGCTCTGCAGACAATTCTTGGATGTGCACCAGGGTCCTAATCTCCTCGGCCCAACTTCATCAAAGTGCATCAGCCATCCTGAGGAACTCTCCCAGGATCTCCCAGGACCGTCTCCCAAAGCCACAAGGAGGGATCGGGGCCTTCAACAAGCCGGCACAGCTCTCCTACAGGCCCTTTTAAAACTGTTTGTGAACTCCTGGAGTAGAATCAAGGTGCTACAACGCTTTTCAAACATGACCTAGCATGTCCTGGACAGAGTGAGCAAGGAGGGGGACTGCTGTCAGCATTCCTAGATAGCAGCCTTCCACCGCTCAGAGGTGGAAGGGAAAGTAGAAAGGCAATACAGAAAGAAACCGGTCCAACCGGCTCAAAATCAGGTCTCTTTTTGCCAATGTGATCTACCCCAGTCTTTGGACCTACGGATGGTTTAAACCCGTGTTTCCCAACCTCGGTCATTTGAGGATCGGAGGACTTCAACTCTGGGAGTTGAAGTCTACATGGCTGGGGAATTCTGGGAGTTGAAGTGGCCAAGGTTGAGAAACACTAACTAAACTGAGAGATCTGTGTTCCCATCTCTCCTTGCCAGGACTGGGCGACCCTCAGCCGATCCTCTCTGCCTCGCTAAACTGTCTGGCTTCCCTAAACAGAACAACAGTTAGAGGAGACCTTGGAGATCTTCTAGTCCAACCCCCTGCTCAAGCCAGAGATCTCTCCTTAAAAACCTCCAGAGATGGAGCACCCAAGCCATCCCACTGATAGTTCTAACTGTCAGACGCAGAATGGAATCCTGTCCTCTTTGCACATGCCAGATTTAAACATTAAATTTGCCTGATCCTTTCTCTGGGAGTCCTCCTGCATGTACGAATGGTGCCCGGCTGGGAAAAGACAGATTCTACACACCCACTTGCAGGATGCTCCACCACTAGCCTTCTTCTCTCTGAGGACCGTCAGGCCCTGCAAAAGAAATCCCCAGCATTGAGGGGTCTTGTGGGTGTGCAAAACACCCAGCCGTAGCTCTACCAAAGTGTGCGAGTGAGAAGTCCACTTTGCTCCAAAGTTTTTGCAAAGCTCCCAGCCCTCAGGCTTTTCTCTCTCCTGCAAAACAGCTCGGTTTTATCCTCCTCAGGCACGGCTGCTGAAACAGGAAGCCGGTTCGTTGTGCGGCCCCACACTGCCGTCTCCTCGTGCAAGCAGGCCCCAGGCCTTCCTCCCCGCAGCGGCGTGGGCCGGCCAGGGATCACCTTGAGGAGGTCTTCCTGAGGGTGAGAGGTTTTTTCCCAAAGCAAAACAAAACCGGGTAACCGTTGTGGGGCAGCGCCGCAGAATGCCTGTTTACTCGCCTGGAGACAGTGAGACTAGAGAACCGAAATGCAGGGAGCTTTTGACTGTGTACGTACACCAACAAGCCCACACCCGCAGACACAGTGCTTCCAGCTTTCAGTTAAGCAACCCGGGCACTTTTTGACGTGCCCAGTGAGATTAAAATCAATAGATTACTTCTCTCCCTTTCTCTGCACTGTATTTATACAGTCCGTGATTGTGTGCGCACCTTCTTGCTTGCTCATACCTGTGCAAAGCCCCCCACCCACCCTGATCAAAGGTGCCTCAATGACCTACTTTACACTAAGCCCTAACCTGAGGTTCACAGACCATAAGCTTGATGTTGTGCACTTCCTATCCAGCCTAAGTAAAATCGAGCATAATAAGGTGTGAACCCATGTCACCCATGTATTGACCTGATACGAATCTTTCACATAATTCGGCAAGCTGATAGGAACACAACTCTGCTAGCTCAGGAAGAGAGCAACTATTAAGTTCCATCGCCCAAAGAACGACGTCCGGACTCTCGCTTCTGGCTCATCCTTCTTCAAAGGGGAGCTGATCAGGCTCCTGAGCCCTGCTGTAACCACTGGATCTTGCCCGGCCAGGTTCCCATTCGGGAGACCACCCTGAATCTGGGTCTTGCCTTTTAGAGACACGGGGGGGGGGGAACAGGCAGTTTCCAATTCAGTGCTGGCATTTGGGACACAAAGTATGAAAAAAGGAACAGAATGCCAGGATCTGGGCATTTCACCGTGAGGGCCCCTGCAGCCCAGCCTGGCAGGGATGAGTGGAACTCACGTCCCCAAAGCTTTGGAAGATACCATGTCTGGTTCTGGACTTTGGCTCTTGTGCATGCCCCCTCTGGCCCAGTCACGTGGCCGTAAAGGGGAGATCTCTGTGGACATCTCATGACTTCTAAGAGGAAGAAAGGGCAGTAGGAAAAAAAACCCAGAGGACCACTAAGAGCTTCAGCCGAAGGGCTGAAGAGTGTCCGGCCCGCAGGCGGCACCTGATGGGCTTAACAAGCAGAGGCTCCAGGAGGATCCCACCTCAGGGCTTCTAAAAGAAAGGGGGGCTTGTAAGCAGCAGCAGTAGAGGGGAAACCAGAATAACAGAACGAGAGAGCTGGAAGGGAACTTGGAGGGCTTCTAGCCCACCCCCCTGCTCAAGCAGGAAGCCCTAGACCATTTCAAACAAAGGTCTGGCCAATCGAAAACCGTCCTTGCAAAAATAAAAACCACACAAGCTTTGCAAACCAACCGGAGAGACGCTGCAAGGAGCCGAGACTGCATGCCGCTGCGTAACGTGCTTCCAGGTGCCCGAGTCTCTTGCCCCCACAGGGCCCCCAGCTCTGGGTCTATCTGTCTGACCAGCCTGCCAATGACTCAGCACCATGCTTCCTCCCAGACGCAACGACAACGTCCTCCTGCCCCGTGGGCCAGGGGTCCCTGGGAAACCGAGGCAGAGGGGTGGGAGTGCCCTCCAGCCCGATCCCTCTAAGGCTTTTGGCTTCTCCAGGACCCGCGGCGCCACCCTAGGCGCCCCTGCCTCCCAGAGAGGGGCCATCTTTGAATGGGCTTTTCCAAAGACGCAAACCGCAGAGAAGAGCAACTAGGAGGATTAAAGGCCCGGAGAGTGAGACGTATGAAGAGCGGTTGCAGGAACTGGGGAAAGAAACGCTGGGGGGGGGGACAGGATAGCAGCAGTCAAATATTTGAAGGGCTACCATAAAGACGAGGGGGCCAAGTTATTGTCCAAAGCACCTGAAGGCAGGACAAGAAACAATGGTTGGAAACTAATCAAGGAGAAAAGCAACCTGGAACTAAGGAGAAACTTCCGAACAGTCAGAACAATTAACCGGTGGAACAGCTTTCCCTCCATAAGGTGTGGGTGCTTCATCCCTGGAGGTTTTTAAGAAGAGACTGGACAGCCACCTGTTTGAAATAACGTAAGACCTCCTGCTTGAGCAGTGGGGTTGGACTAGAAGACCTCCAAGGTCCCTTCCAGTTCCATTCTGATTGAAAACAGGCGCACACGCCTGGCTGGGCCCCATTGCTAGAGAGAATCTGCCTGGCCCCAGATTCTTGCAAAAGTCTTGCTGGCCTTCCCACGCAATGAACACGCCCTCCCCCCAAGGAACGGGAGGCAGAGCCGTGCCCCTGAGACAGCTCTTGCAACCCAAAGTTACATAAGCCAGCTCCCGCGTCCCAGAGCTGAGGATCTCTGTGGAGCCCGGCGGGCAGGCTCTCTCAGGGGCGAGGACCAAAGCAGCCACCTTTGCAAAGCCCACCAAGAGCATGACGCTTTGGGAAAGGTGCTTTGGTGGCTCCGGCTCTGAGTCTCCAGCCGGGTGCAGGCAAGGAGAAATTTCTAGCAGCACACCAAAAATAGAAGGTTCCCCCCCCCTCACTCTCGGTTTTGTGCTTTGAAATGCACAATGGCTTTTAACTTGCACTATGGAAGGAAGGCCCCTCCCAAACTTCCCCTTGTTATGAAAGGCAGCTGGGCCCAGTGGGAAGGGGAGTTGCCGTGTCATCAGGTATGCCATGCGTGGGAAGAAAATCCACACAAACACACTCACGTTTAATTCACACCGGGCACCCTCAAATGCCCAGAAAGGCTGCCCGGAGCAGAAAGGGCAATGGGTGAGCTTTGCAAGGGAGCGATCTGAACGCAGCCCTTGGGTCTCCGGCTTGAGCAGGGGGTTGGATTAGAAGACCCCCAAGATCCAACTCTGATATTTATCTGTCCTACAGCTGGGCCTTCTTCAACAGAGCCCCCCTCTCCATCCTTTCATGGGGGGGGGGAATTAGGAAAAAGCGGAGCAGAAAGAGGAGAAGCCAGGTCTGCAGGGCCAAACTGAAGCCAAATTAAAGAGATTAAGGAAGGGAACAACCGATCCATCGTGTCTTTGTTGAACCCGGGTTTGTCTCAGAAGGGCTTCTGTTGGAGCAGGGAGCCAATGCTGCACAGCAGCACCACTGCTGCATGCGAAGCGAGCATGCAACCCAGACCCAGCACTCCAAGCCCCACCGCCACTGAACATACCCCAAGCGCAATGTTCTGATAAGCTTCTGAGAAACAGCAGCCTTTGCCGCGCAGCAATCTGGTCAAGAGAAGAAGCCAGGATGGTGCGTCTCTTTCAGATCTCAGTTTAATCCAGCGGGAGTCTAACTCTGGCCACTTTTAGACTTGTGGACTTCAGTTCCTAGAATTCAGCAAGGCTGGGACATTCTGGGAATTGAAGTCCAGAAGTCTTAAAGGTTGGACACCCCTGCATCCAAAAAGTATTTCAGCCTCTTTGACAGCCTGTGAGTTTTGGCCCCATCCTGACCAACACACACACACACAAAATTTTCTAAGTCCCAAGCAAGTTCCTTTTATTTCACAGTTATCCCTTCCATTTCTACAGGCCCCCCCCAACTCAACGCAGCAACTCCGCGGCTCATCGTTCTAAACCTTAAAACGATCAAAAGAAGTAAAATAGTAAAACCTCACGGAATTTCGGATTCCCCCTGCGCCCCCCTCCCCCCCCGCCTAAGGGAGCCCGGGCCTCGTTCTCCCATGTTGGAGCGCCCAGATGTGGGGCAGCTGTTTGGAGCCAGCCTGCTCCCCCCACTCCCCAAGTCTTCCTCGGGCAGGCGGTGGCCCGCTTTCCCGGACGGACCCCCGCCTCGATTCGGGCTGCTTCGATCCCCAAAGTGCCGCCCGGGGGGCGATCAGAGGGGGCTCCCGCTGCCCCGAGACCTTCCGCGGACAGGCAGCCGCCTTCGCCAGCCCGGGAAGGGGGGGGTCGCTCCCGAGGCTCCCCCCGCAGGTGCCTCCGCGCAGAAGCCCCTTCCCGGCCAGGAAAGTGGGGGGCTCCCACCCAGGGATGGCGACCCCCCCCCAAAAGAGATGCCTGCGGTCCTCTGCCCCCTTCCCGCGCCCCCTCCCTGCCTCCCCCCTCCCGGGCGAGCGCGGGCACTCTGCACATGCTCCACCAGCCCCGCGCCCCGGCAGCGGAAGCCAGAGCCGCCGCGGAGCCCGCCGACTCACCTGCGCGAGAAGCGGCGCCCCTCGGCCGCCCGGCCCATGCCGCCCGCCCCGGAGCGCCGCGCCGTCGGAGCCGCCAGCAGCCGGTAGGAGCGGGCGAGCGGGCGGGGCGCCTCGACGCCGACCCGGCCTGACGCCTCCCTGGCCGGCGAGGGGCGGAGGCGGAGGCGGCGCCGGGCGGAGGGGGCTGCCGCGGCGGCTGGAAGGAGCGGACGGGCGAGGGAGGCCGGCGGGCCGGGGCGGCAGCGCGGCGCCCGCGGGCGCTTTCGCTTCCGCCAGATGTGCGGCCGGGGCTGGCGGGAGGGCAGGCGGGCCTCGCCCACAGCCCGCGCGGCAGCTGGAGGAGCCGGGCCCGGGCGCGCGTGGGAGCCCGTCGGGGAAAGACGAGCCCAGCCCGGCTGGGAGGCGGCGTGGGGGGCTCTCTTCGTTAGAAGCCCCCGTCCGATTCGAGGGCGCGGACGGCGGCAACTTTTAATAGTTGTGGACTTCAACTCCCAGAATTCCCCAGCTGCTACCTTGGCAACTTTGAGACTTGTGTAACTCCCAGAATTGCTGGCTGGGGAATTCTGGCAGCTGAAGTCCACAAGACTTAAAGGTTGTCAGGGCTACAGACCCTCCGGCACTCAGTTGCAAAGGCCGAGATCTTCCGTTCTTGAAATCACCCATTGAAGCCACCAAGGACACGGCCAACTTCATTTTTGCTATTGGTCCAAGCAGTCAGAAAGTCTTTTTTTTTTTTTTAAAGGGGGGGGGGGTTTGCAGAGCCTTTGGTCTTCCAAAGCTGTTTGCCTTTATTTTATTTTAATGGCGCCAGGATGAAAAATAAGGGCTCTGTCCTTAACTACCCAGCTGTCTCTTCTAAAGGCAGGAGGAGAAGACACTTTTGGGGGGGTCTTCTTGTTAACTTGGGGGCCAGATTGCTGGGCAGGTTAAACAGAAAGGGATCAAGATTCTGGAATGGCCCAATTATTCACAAAATTCAGAGAAGAACTCTCAAAAACTCCGGCCAAGCTGTGTATTTGACCATTGCAGTTTGGTTTAAGAAAAACTGGTTCTGATTGTGTCATGCAACACAGCCCCCACCCCAAAACCCAGCTGTTTGTCTTGTTTTGTTTCCTCTGGCCTTTAAGTGTACAGTGTCTTTTAAGCTGAACTTTCTGAACTTTTAGGCCTGTTTTAAGCATGGGAGGTTGACAATGCTTGGTGAGGCACACTTTGCCGTTTGATAAGCACGCTTTGAAGGATTTGTGTACGCCTTAAAAAAAAAAAGTATTGCAAAACAACTCTGAAGGCCTTTTGCCTCTTTGCTCTAAAAAGTGCCCTTGCAAATGAATGCAATGTGGCTCTAGCGCCATCTAGTGGCCAGATCGATAACTACCTTGAGCCCATCAAAGGGATATATATTCTATATCGGGTCTCCTCCTGGCTGAGGAACTCTGGGAGTTGAAGTCCACAAGCCATAAAGTTGCCACGGTTGAAGGAGCCTATTCTATATTGCCCTGCCTGGAGACTTAGCATAATCCTGGTGTGGCCACGTTCACACATTCAGACTCGATTTTGTATTTGGGGATCTCACATTTCAGACCCAGATTAGCTGTTGAGGCTACCCTTGCAGCTACAGTCTCAGTGATCTGCTTGGAAGCACCGCAATAGAGTAATAATTACAGTAGACAGATATATTGCCAATATACATAATAAGTGGTACAGGCAGTCCTCAATTGTGGCAAGAGAAGTCGTAAAAGGGGGCAAAGCTCACTTAACAAATGTTTCACTTAGCGACGTAAACGTTGGGACTCGATCGTGGTCGTAACTCGAGGACTGACTCCCTGTATTGCAAAAGCAAAAAGGAGTTTTATTGCTTCCTTGCTGGCTGGGAAGTCTGGCAGTTCATTAACGCGGATTGCAACCAACTTTACTCTAAATCCGGCTTAAGCGCGGCTGGCTCACCCCCCCCATCCACCCCCCCCCGCAGTTCCGCAGACGGGAGCCCCTCCTGAGGTTTACCCGGAGGTCATCCGAGGAAAGGCGGCGGGGGCTCGCCAGGGCTGCCCGGAAGGAAGCGGAAGGCCGGGGGCGGCCAGAGGTGAAGCCAGCCCAGCCTCCGCCTTCCCGCCGCTGGAAGAGCCGGAGGAGGAGCGCGGGAGCAGCGCAGGAGGAGACGGAGGCGCCGCCCGGTCATGGCAGCGCGCAGCGCTCCCGCGGACAAAGGCAGGCACCGGGCCGGGAGCTGAAGCCGCCGGGGGAGCCCCCGAGGAGGCGGGCAGGTGAGTGCCAAGCTCCCCGTCGCGTCCCGTCCGCCCTTGGCGGCCTCCCCAGCCTGGCCCAGGCGCTGCGAGCCGAGCAGAGGGCCGGGGGCGCCCGCCGGAGGAGGGTCTGCTCGGCCGAGGTTGCGGGCGAGAAGCCCTCCCCAAAAGGCCAAATGCGCTCCTTGCAAAATAAGGGGGGGCAGCAGGGATAGAAACCCATTAACCGCCCCTCCCCCAAATCTCCAAGCCCAGCGAGCGTTGTTGGTCGGTGGGAGCTGCTGGGAGAGCCCCGTCTGAAGAGCCAGGCTTGGGGGTGGGGGCGGCGTGGTCCCGGGGAGGGGGGGTTTCTGCAGAAAAGCCGCGTCTGGCTTCTTTCTGGGGGGCTCCCAGAATTGAGCTCCTCCAGCTTCAAGCCAGGCGGGGCTTAGAGGGGAAGGGGCTGCCTGGGACGAGAAGGAGCTCCTCTTCTGCCCATCCCCAGTCCAGGAACCTCCGGTCCGTGGGGCGGCTGGTTCTCCAAGGCCCGGCCCCTTGCTGCTGCCTCCTGGAGACCCCTTTGCTCTCCCAACTGATAAATCATCCTTGCGGTGATTTTGTGGAGAGCCCCTGGAGTCAAGCGATGCCAGTTTATAGACAAATGCCACGTGTATGTATAAATAGATCCCCCCCCCCTCCACTGAGCTGGCTTTGGTTTTCTTCCTCCCATTTCCAGCAAGCGGGCCAAAATCAGAACAGGGCTGGTTCTGAGGGCTGCCCCCTTAGCTTGCCTGTGGGACACACGTTCGTGTCTCTTGGGCTTCAGAGGCGGGTGCAAGGCTGGCCTTGTGTGTTTTCTGCCCTGCGGGTGCCTCGGTGCCAGGCTAGGCTGGCACGTGTTGGTCTGCAACTATCAACAAGGTTGCTGCTTCCGAACAATTAAGTCGACATTCAAACTCTTGCCCCGAGTTTGCCTCGGCAGCCGTTACTTTGGAAGAGGATAAATGTGGGTAGCAAGCAGGAGAATTACTCAGTCCCGGGTGGACAGGAATGGTCCGGAGGGGGAAACTGGCTGACCAGCGCTCTGCTTTGCTCCCTTGTGAGGTTTGGTGGAATCACCGCCAGCCACATTTTCCCCTCCTAGTCATGAGGCTGTCACTGCCCTTCGATGGCCTGGGGCCCCCTGAATTTATTTTTTTCCCCTTATTACTTTTAAGTAACTCAAAGCAGTGAACATACTGCCTATAGTTGCCCTTTCTCTTCTTATCCCATAACCCTGTTAGATGGTGAGATGGATTGGCCCAAAGTCCCGCAGCCGGCTTTCATGCCTAAGGTGGAACTAGAATTCACAGTCTCCCAGTGATTCCTCCAAAGTCACCCAGATGATATTTGGACTTCAACTCCCATAATTCTGGAAATTGAAGTCCAGACACCTTAACTGACCGAGGTGGAGAAACGTGCTATAGAGGCAGCCATTTGGGGGCTGCAAGAACCCAAAGGGCCTCTTTCCCATCTGGTGTTGATGGGGGCTGCTGGGACCCACCCCCCTTTCTTGCTTTCCCTTCCCAGGGATGCCCACCATGAAGCTGAACGAGAGGAGCCTCTCTTTCTATGCCACCTGCGCCTCTCCGGCTGACAACGCCGGCTTCCTGCACAAGAAGGGCGAGCGCAACACGGCCTACCACCGGCGCTGGTTCGTGCTGAGGGGGAACATGCTCTTCTACTTCGAGGACCGGGAGAGCCGGGAGCCGGTGGGCGTCATCATTCTGGAGGGCTGCACGGTAGAGCTGTGCGAGGCCACCGAGGAGTTTGCCTTCGCCATCAAGTTCGACTGCCCCAAGTCCCGCACCTATGTGCTGGCGGCCGAGAGCCAGGCCGCCATGGAGCTCTGGGTCAAGGCGCTCTCCAGGGCCAGCTTTGGCTACCTGCGCCTGGTGGTGAGGGAGCTGGAGAAGCAGCTGGAGGAGATGCAGAAGGCCATCCCGGGCGCCCAGCCGGGGCCGAGACGGCGGCTGCTTTATCGGAAAAACAAAACGGCTCCCAATTTGGAACTGGCTGTTCTGCCGCAGGAGAAACCGGCCTTGCCCGTTTGTATCCCCGGGAAAGAGAACGGCTGCGCCTTGTGGAATAACTCGGAAGCCTCGGCCAGCTTGTCTCCTGCCTGCAGAGAGACAGACTCCTCTGGCGGGGCCAAGAGCTATGATGGGGGGCTCAAGCCACCCCCGTTGCCCCCTCGGAGACGGTCTCTGCCGAGCGGGACCAGCGGCCCGAACTCAGACAGCCCCGCGTCTCCAAGTGCGGTGTGTTTTTCCCGACTGCATGACTGGTATGGTCAGGAGATTGCTGAGTTGCAGAAGGCTTGGCTGGAGGGTCAGAAGGACAAGGACAGCAGCCTTTGAACCCCCCCCCCCCGGGGTGGAGAGGCACCTCCTGGAAAAACTGAACTGGCTGAAAGGCAGCCACGCTTGGAAAGCCACCAGCACCGTCTTCTTTGGCTGAGGCAGCTGCTGGGAACTTTGTCTTCGGTCTGCCGATAGCACCCTTCCGTGATTCATGGAAAAGTCATGGCTGGTGCCAGCTCACATCCTCCCCCCCACCTCCAGACACCCCCCTCCTCAGCAGGCAACGCTTCCTAGTTCCTGGAGATCTCCACTGTTAAGGGATCACGATGAGAGGTTGATGGAGACACTCGCAGCCCCAGCGGGCAAACTAACGGAAGTGAGCCGGGAGCCTCTTTCGATCCCTGGACACACAGAGGGTCCTTTCAGGGAGAAGATCATCTGCAGAAGAACTGGAGGACCATGGAAATGGTTGGGCTTGGCTGGATGACTCCTCCAGGAGGACAGGAGAACGTGTGATCCAATTCAGCCAGAGGAGGATATCTCCACAAAAGAAATTGTGGGTGTGTAGTGTGTAGTTCAAGAATGCGGACAAGATCAGGGGAGACCTCAAAACCGCTGCTCAGTCCCGAAGGCCTTTGGGTGGTCGCCATCCTGCAACCCTCACAGGGTTGTTGGGAGGCTGGGAATCGGGGTGAGGTCCATGGATGCCACCTTGGTGATCTTGAAGGACAGGCGGGGTCTATTCTTGCAGTCAAGAAACAGAGGGACGGAAACAGGCGCCCTTTTAGCCTGCTTCCAAACCCGTTGTAAGCATTTCCTTACCTGGAACAGGAATCTCTTCAGCCACAACCTCATGGTTAACAATGGAGAGAGAGAAAAGCTGTTTTCCCTGGAAAATTTGCTTTATTCATTCTGCAGGACAGGAGTGGATAAAAGCAGCTGTTAACTAGGTGGCCCAAACCTTGAATGCAATAAACCAAGACATCGAGCCAAGTTGTTATAGAATGTCTGTATTTTCCTTTTTTAACGGCTGTTTACAGAACGTAATAGGCCTTTTTCAGTATTTAACAAACTTCAGTCAATCTCGTAGAAATTGTTTCAAAGTACAGTACAGGAGCCTAGAAAAAAGTGGGGCTGACGCATCTCGCCAGCTTCAAATGCAGCCGGTCGCTTTCCAGGGTGGAGAACCAACACGTAAGTGCTTAGTTTTTTAAAACAAAAAAATCCTGTTCCACTAAAAGTAATCTCGAGCCTTTGGTGAAGAAGAATTCATGGACCCAACTCCACATTTCATTTGGATAGATAGAAGCTGAGTTTGTTCAGGGGGGGTTCTAAGGTAAGTGGGACGTCCAGGTTTCCTTAGGTGAACTGGATGAAATAAGGAACATTAAACATATAAAATACTTTCAAGTCTGATAAAAATGCTCACAATGGGAGGGCAAAACACATTTTGGGGGCGTGGGGGAGGTGAGCGGCTTGTCTTTCCCTGTTTGTGAATTAGGTTTAAAAAGGTTTCATCCCATCTGGGGGAATAAATCAACAGCAGGCTGAAAAGCTTGCGGAGATCACTCAACTTAGTTAAAAGCTGGAGAAGACCTGGCAGCCGTGGGGGGTCTCTTCAAATTATGAAAACGTCTGGTGGAAAACTGCTAGCGTTCTGGGACAGTCCCATCAGCCCTTATTCTAGTTTTGAGATAAAGTCAAATGGGTGGGAATTATAAATTATAGCTTCCTACCAAACTGGCTATTTGCATCCTTCAGATCCTTCCTTCCTCCTGGCGTGGAAGATGGATCCAGGCAAGGCCATTGGAGCAGGATAAGGAGCTGGGCCTGGATTTAACTTTTGCCTTTTCTCCAAGCTTTGACTAACATTGGTGGGGGAATTGCACAGGATGCTATTATTATTTATTAAATTTATTTGCCACTACTCTAGGGGGCAAACATTTTATAGCCAGCATTTTCTATTCTGGTTTAGTGCTCCCTGTGGCAAATGTGTCAAAATATCTGCTTTCCTCCAAAGCTGAACTGTTGAGCTAAGGGACTATGTTTATGCTTTTAAAAAAGGTGTCGTAATTCTCTTTAAAGTCTTCCCTGGCATAACAGACGGTTTGATTTAGCAAGTGCACCTTTTTGAAACAAAAGATGCTTTTTCCCCCTTTCAGTGGGAAAGAAAAACCCTTTTCTGGATGCTCCTTTGTAAAGGAGAGAAAGTCATTCTCTGGAATTGGGATGCATCTTGTTCAACAAGGCTCTTGAAAACCTATTTCCATACAACAGCATGCAACACCTCTCTTTTTTTCCCCCCGTGTTGCCCCAAAAAGAAAGAAAAAAAATGAAGGGAACATACCACTCGGGCTTAATAGCAGACTCAAGATGGCACCGCGGGTTCCAAATTTAGAGTCTTCGTGGACTATAAGACAAAGTTTCTTGACAGGTTGTCGTGACGCGACGTCTTACAGACAAACACAGAGTCTGCCAATCAAGTTTCGTAACATTTTGGTCAGTCTCATAGTGCTTCTTGATGGCTTGGATCAATGAGCCAAGGTTCATATTTTTTTAAATTTTAATTTTTTTTCTTTAATCTCATCCAGTGGCAAACTACAAGACTTTCAGTGGGCATTTAATGATACAACTGATACAGTTTATAGCTATCTTTTAATATCAAAGCAGCTTGAGCTGTTAATAAATTCCAAAGTTTCCTTTTATTAAAATATCTAAAAGAGGTCTATAAATATTACTTTAATATTTTTTTCCCTTCTAAAAGTGTTCTCAGTTTGTTCCTGTGTGTCTGTTTTCACATTTAAAACCCCCCAAAGTCATTTTTAGGTTACCTTCAGGAGCTAAGAAAGAGCAACAATCTCTCGGGTCTGACAAAATGCAGCTGATTTTTTTTTTTTAGACGATGAAATTAATAAAATATGTGTGTGTGTGTGTTCATATATATATATATATATATATATATTTATAGATTATTTTTTTTCTATACACTCTGCTAGGACTCCCTGCTTTGTCCACACGTTCTGTGGAGTTTAGAACCCGGACAACCTAATTTTGGTGTTCGGTTTTGATTATTTTCTTTTTTTTCCATTTAGCCCTTCAAAATTCCCACTCCAGAGTCTCCTCGCGATTGGCAGCTCTTTCTAGCCGGTGAATTATGCTGTTGAGATTAGCCATTTTCTCGTTCCGCCGTTGGATGTTCGTAGTCAGTTTTGCGCTGGGTGGCGCGGTGCCCATATCTGCGGCCGCACTAGCACTCTGCCCTTTGGTGGCCGCAGTGCTCACCGGCAAGGGGGAGATGGGAGCCGAGGAGGATGGGATGGGGGAGACCGACATCAGGAGTCCCGGCGAGGAGGAGGCGGACAGAGAGGTCAGAGAAACTTCTAGGCTGCAACGGGAGGATTCGGAGGTGGATTTATAACTAACGGGGTCCGAGGGGGACCTCTCCTGGCTGTCGGTCTCCCCGGAGTTATGGAAACTGGAATAATCGTGGCTCCTGGGCAGGTGTGCCTTGCTACGTAGGGTGCTGGCCCAGGTGAGGTTGGGAGCTTCGTGTGGGCTCACACGACTGGGGTCTTCGGGGTCTTCCCCAGGGCTGGATCGGGATACGGGCACTACCTCGCCTTCTGGACTACAGGAGTCTCTGCTGCTGACCCGGTCGTCTTTGTCGCCAGCATCCAGCTGCTCCTCCTTGATTTCAACCAGCGCTTTGACTTCTCCTTGGCACTCAGCATTTCTGAAGGTGGGTTTGTGGTCCTCCCCTTCCGAGTCAGGGCTCTGAGGCTGGGCCACCTTGGGCAAAGAGCCGGCGGGGGCCATGCTCTGCTCTGCGTCTGTGTCGTCCTGGCTTCCTTCCACCAGCATCTCTCGGCGCATCCTAGACCTGTCAAAGAAAAAGGCCATGGGGTTCTTGCATCCACAGGAGATCCCAAAACATCGTCAAGAAAGATAAACACTAGGCCAATGTAGTTCAGGAAGTTGAGTTGCCTCAACTCCTGGACTGGATTTGCACAACACAACTGAGCCCTCCGGGGAAAGACCAGTGGACTGTTTTCTTTTAACATGGCTCAAGCTTGGTTGCTTCGTTGTGGCTTAGAATGTTTTGCTGGGTTGCCCATGATTCTGCATTTGCAGCCAGAAAAATGATTTAATTTACTAGGCATAAGTATGTTATTCAAACAAAGCCATTATATGGATATAGAAAAAAATACGTTTTTTTTTTCCTGAAAGTTACAGGTTTTTATCAAGAGCAGAAAAATCTGAGGGTAAGGCCAAAATTGCAATTGTGAAAGCAATACTCTAGGAGCCTAGAAGATTTTGTGCTTTCCTTCACATCCAACCAGTATGTAACAGTGCTGGGTGTGAACTATCTATCTGTCGTGAACTATCTGACCCAAAGGAAAGTCTGCTGCAAAGCTTAAAGACCCGGGAAGTATGGTGGAAGTAGTCTGGATTCCTAGGAGAGGGGCTGCTTTCCAGAGGGCAAAGAGGCAGCCAAGCATGAAGAATTGACGAGAGTTACAATGGCTCCTCTCTAGCAGTTCCCAGAATATATTTATAGTTCTGCAAATAGTTGCTTTAGTCTGGCAAGATTCTGTCTAAAGGTGAAGAACGATAAAGGAAACTGAAGTAATTCCACGTGCCATTCTTGGTTCTTGGGGTCTGACACAAGAGGTGGCACAAGGCTTTTTACCTGTAATTGTGGAACCAATTAATCACCGTGTTGGTCTTGAGGTTGAGCTGGAAGGAGAGCAACTCGATGGTCTGCTGGGAGGGGTAGGGTTCCAGCTGATAGGCCCTCTTCAGGGTCTCCTTCTCCTCTGGAGCCAAGACCACCCTTGGCTTCTTGATCTGCAGGAGGCTGAGGTCTTGCAGCTGAAGGCTGGGACTGGGGCACTCGGAACGAGGGTTGGGAGACTCGCTGTCCGAGCCAGCACTGATCAGCCCGTAACGACGCTTCAGATACGCTACAGATGGGAGAAAATCAGAGGAAGCCATGCATTTTGGGGGAGGTCACATCTTCACTTTTATAAATCCCAATCCATGTGAATTTTGATCACATGACCAAACACAGGCTACAGTTGTTTTAAGTGCAAAACCCGGTCATAGTTCACTTTTTTCAGTGCCGCTGTAACATTGAACGGTCACTAAATGAACTTGTAAGTCAAGGACTACTACTTGTAATCAATAGCTGCTCACGGAAAGATAAAATCTACTTCACCAAAGGGAGGGAGGGAGAAAGAATACACCATGGCCTCCTCTGCTGGCAAGCAGCTGAGTGCCAGAAGTTATAGGAAATTAATCATGGCAGGATGTGAGCTCACTTGTAGACCAGTCATCACAAAATAATCACAAGGCCAGTCACTGACAGACACCCCACGTAAGCAGCATCCCTTTTTGGCAAGCAAGAAACCCAAGGAAGTTATTGACGCAACCTTGCCCTCTTGACCCGTCCCTTAAACAACTTAAAGGGGATCAACTAAGATTTGTAGGTGGGTGTAGCTCCACCACCTCAGATAGTATCTCCAGAGGAGACGTGACCCACTACAGGCTACCACACCCAACGCATCTCTCTTTACCGCTGCATGCCAGGAATGTGAGAAATGAGGGCGCCTCACCTTTCTTCTCCAACTTTTTCATGTCCCGGAGCTTGTCGACATTGTGGGGGTCATTCAGCCAGAGTTGCATGCGGACAAACGGCTCCCTTCCCTTAAGACTCAGCTTATGCCAAGCTTTGGGCCTTGAAAGGAGATCCGAGACCGACCCCTGCGTCAGGCCCAGGATGCTCTCTCCAAAAAGGCGCTGACCTAAACAAGGAGAGAAATGGGAAACTGAGATTGCAGCTTATGTGCGAAGATAAATTCGTCATTTTAATCAGGGAAGACATTGAAGCCCTTTAAAAGTTGGGGGTTATTTGGTTTCGTTTTATACACAGTCTGGTCTCAGGCTTTTTCATCTGGGGAGTACCGGAAATGCCTTCTGACTCTTCCAAAGGA